TGTGTGGGTTGTGCCAGGGATGCGGGAATGTGTGGGTTGTGCCAGGGTGAGCTGGATAACACGACAAATGTATCTCACCTGCAGATTCTGCAGGCCTCCGTAGGCTGTGAAGAGGAGGAAGAAACCACAGGAAACTACCAGGACATTCTTCAGGTTTCTCCCCATCACGCAGACAGACGTGTGTCACCACCAGCGGATGTCAGGGGATGCGTACGCTTGTGTTTCCCTAAAAGAGACCTGCTGGAGCATGGGAAACGGGGCCGTGACCGAGCGGTCCCACCCACTCTGGGTTACAAGTAGGCTGGCCACTAGGCTTTGCATAGTTAGTAACCCGCTTTTGCAGGCCCAAGTCTACCTTAAGCTTATTCTCTGGGAAGATTATGACTTAGTAATCAGCTCCTCTGCAATTTTCCCCTATTACTTTCAGATAGGAATATCACATCTTATGTACCTTTGAGAGTAACTCCTATGTCCAGAGAAATTGCCAGTGGTGCAGAATGTGGGATATTCTTCCGTCCTAAGGAACAAGACAGACACACACCTTTAATCCCAGCACTCAAGAAGCAAAGGGAGGAAGATCTCTGTGAGGTCGAGGTCAGCCTGGTCTACAGAGTGGGTTCCATGACAGCCAGGGCTGTTACACAGAGAAACCCTGTCTCAAAAGAAAAAACAAACAAACAAACAAAAATTTAAAAAAGTAAAAATCATCAATTTTTAGAAGCCTTGTCCATCTTCTGACAAACATTTAATGTGATAAGATCCCAGAGCCAAGGGCTTAGTCGTGCAAAGACATGATTTCACCATGTTGCAATGATGCTTTAAGTGTTGAATATGGTACTCCATTACACGCAGAGAACAATTTTACATGTACCATAGCATTTGCAATCTTGGACCCATTATAAGACAGCAAAGCCCAGGATATCAGCCCAGAGCTGTGCTGGTTGACCAAGCAGCTGCCAGTCATATGTGGTCACTGAGTCCTTAAGATAGAGCGGGCACTCACTGTGGAACTGGATTTGAGCTTCACTTAGCTAATTAACGTAACAGATTCCCGTGGGCACATGCTAGACAGACTAGGTCCAGAGTGTCATAGTGTTCTACCCCCTGTGCACAAGACAAATAAAAAACACCCCATGCTGCACACAGTGCCACACCCTTTAATCTAGGGACTCTCTGGAGGCAGAAGCAGGCACATTTCTGTGAGTCTGAGGCCAGCCTGGTTCACACAGAGTTCCAGGACAGCCAGAGCTTCCTAGTAAGACCTTGTCTCCCTAAAGCATCCTTCTACCCTGTTGTTAATGAAGCTCATTGTTCTTAGACCGTTCCCAAAGTGCTGTGTCCTCCGTCATTTCTGCCAAGGATGAACCAAGTGAGTGAATCTTACAGCCTTGGTAACCGACATGACCAGCAATAATGGAGACAAGGCTCTTGTAGCTTATCTGGTTCCTAGGAAAAGGCGCGTCTTGTGGGATACATGGTTTTAAATATTAAACGGGTTGAATATTTAAATGGGTTATTGTTTCTGAAAACAGACAAGAGGGCAGCACCAGCAAGGTGTTCTAACGTGGGGGTGGGCAGGTACCACTCCCCAGTCAGTGAAGCGCTGACGTCACAAGCATGAGAACCTGAGTCTGAGCCCCAACCTGAGTAATAACACCAGACATGTCAGGCGTGTACTGACCCAGTCTAGCCTAACACGGTGACCTCTCTGAGAGAGCCTGTCTCAACAGAGGCAGACAGCACGCCTGAGGAGGACACCTGAAGCTGTCCCCTGGCTTCCACATGCCGGTGTGCCAGTGCACACACAACACAGGAACCCTGGAAACAACCTTGCATCACCATCCTAGCCCTGAAACATCTCTAAACGTCCATTTCCTCTTGAACAAAGAAGCCGTGAAGGTCTGAGAAGCTAACAGTGAAGAGAGCCCTGGGACCACCCTCAATCAGAGTAACCCCAGAAACAACAACAGACAAGGTCAGCTGGAGCAACACAGAAAGCAATGCTTTAATGCGCTCTGTCTAATTTTCTGGAGATGTTTTAGCAGTCTTCAACTCCATCATCCTGTCTATAATTACCCCAAATGACTTGTGTGTGATGGGACAACTTCTGGTGTTTTCTTTGCTTTTAGTCTCTTTCTCCATTAGCTTCTCAAACTTACCAGGACTGTGTTTGGGGGTTGGCAACTGACCCTGAAAGCAACTTCTAATAGCTGTTGACTCCACTCCTCACAATCCATCCAGATCTTCCAGGGAACTCGGCAGCTATGAAAATCCCGCCCCCCAGAGGTCTATTTTCCCTTGGCAAGTCAGATCCAGTGTCCTTTGCTGCTCTCCTAGTTGGGAATTGGTTTGCAGCATCAATGTTTCAGTCGTGTCTTTCCCCCAGGATTCTCCCCATCTCTGCCAAGGGGGGATGTTGAAAATGGGAAACAATGAAGTCTGCAAGAAATGTTTTTCGAGAGACATCTACAGAATTGCCCAATCTCTAAGGTGAAAAGGAGTTTTAGATGTGATCTCATGGCCAAAAGCACGGATGCTCTTATTGTCCCAGATCTTGGTTCCTGCCTGGAATGACAGACACAGCCCTGCAGACCTACACTAGGGTGGGAGGAGAGAACAGTAAGCTCGGGAAGCTGATCTGACTGTGAAAGAGAACTGACCTGTGGTCAGGCTCCCAAGGTTAGACAGGGACAGTGCAAGTCTCAGGCGTCACCCCACCTGCTCCCAAGGTTAGACAGAGACAGTGCAAGCATCAGGCGTCACCCTACCTGTAGCTAACACCTGTCCTAGGATTTCCACTACTGTGATAAAGGCCTGCCAAAAGCAACTTTGGGAGTGTAGAGGTTTGGATAAGAATGGCTCCCATAGGCTCATCTCTTTGGATGCTTAGCCATCAGGGAGTGGCACTATTTGAGGATTAGGAGCTGGCCTAGTTGACGGGAGTATGACACTGGGGGTGTCTGAGATTTCGAAAGCCCAGGTCAGGCCTGGAATGTCTCCCTGTGCTTGCTGAGCCAGTGTAGAACTCTCAGCTCCTTCTCCAGCACCTTGTCTGCCTGTATCCGCCATGCTCCCTGTCATGATGATATGGACTGACCCTCTGAAGCTCTAAGCCAGCCCAGTTAAAAGCAGAGTTGCCATGGGCATGGTGTCTCTCCACAGCAATAGAGCAGTGACGAAGACAGGGAGGGACAGGTTTAGTTCATTCTACAACTCTTGGGTCACACTTGCGTCAGTGAGGGAAGTCAGGGCAGTAATTCAACCCCGGAACTAGATGTGGGGACTGAAGCAAAGGCCATGGAGGAATATTTTCTGCTGTCCTGCTCTTCCTGACTGGCTCAGTTTGCTTTCATATACAGCCCAGGAACACCTTCTCAGTGGCGGTACCACTGCAGTGGGCTGGGCGCTCCCCTGCCAGCCATCAATCAAGACAATATTCACACACCTGTGGACAGGTCACTCTCACGGAAGTGGCTTCTCGGCTAAGACTCCCCCCTTCTCGGACGACTCCAGCTTAATGTCAAACTGATAAACAAACCAATCAAACCGCAGCAGGGAGAACAGCACCCACGTGGAACTTTAGCCGTGGTCTTAAAGCTGTGGGCAGACAAGAGCTCACTGAACGAAGAGTGAGTGACCCGGTGCTTTCTGTGGACCTCAAGGAAGAAGCCTTTTACCCTCAGGATGCCAGGTGGTGTACCGCCCAGCCACGAGAGGTCACTGCTCTCCAGTCACGAGAGGTCACTGCTCTTCAGCCACGAGAGGTCACTGCTCTTCAGCCACGAGAGGTCACTGCTCTCCAGCCACGAGAGGTCACTGCTCCACCAGGGCCCAAATCAGGGACTCTGAGCTTCACAACCCTTCATTCAGTAAACCCCCTGCTGAGAAGCTCAAGAGGCTCCTAACTGGGAAGTCTAAGCACGCTGGCTCTTAGGGAAAGCACTCCTGTGAGCAGCCGCTGTCAGCTTTCTTGGCATGTATGTTTGAAATCTAAAAGCGGCACCAAATAAATGTTCATTGATTCTATTAATTTCCTGCAGGAAAATGAAACGTGAGTATTCAAAGGATGGAGATTATTGCTTCCTTTAGGAATGCTGGAATTCTGGCGCTCTAGGAATGGGTATACCCCACGCTTCCCCCTTTTCCCTTTAGCGGATTGCGTCTGCGCAACCGCAGCTTGGGAAAGAGGCTTCCTCTTAGTATGTATTCCAGAGTTCCTGCAACCCCAAGCTGACTGGCAACCCCACAATGTGCAGCAGACATCGCTTAGCCTGGCTAACCAAACCTGAGGAAACGGGGAGCTTGCCTGGACTCCGTGTTCTTCCTCAGTGAGGCACAGCCAGAGGCAGTCTGAGGAAAGGCTCCATGACTCGTCTGCAGGTAACAGTGAGATCCTCTAACTGCTTCCCACCCCTTTCCAGAAAGCCCAGGCCCATTTGAACGGCAGACTGTAGAGACTGCCCTCACTCTCTCGCTACTGATGAATCCCATAGAGCCCCAGGCTGGCAGTTTGTGACCACCTGGGAATCTTGTCTTGACGTCTCTCAGAGGTTCTAGAACACATTCTACTGTTGACATTTGAGTGGCCTGATGGGTCAGTCACCCTTGACTGTAGATCCTGCAGAATCCCTGACCAGGAAATCCCACCCAGCTAAGGCACAGCCATCCTGCACAGAAAAAGGCCAGACCAGAATCTGGGCTCAGTCCAATGTTGTGATATTTTGTCTGTGTTCTGACAAATAAAGCTGGCCTGGAGATGAGAGCACAGAGCTAGTCACGAATTAACCATAAAGGTCTGGAGGTCTGTACAGAAAGGAGACAGGAAGTGACAATACTGGGTGGAGACAGGAAGGGGTCTGAGAATTCGGAGAGGTAAGAAGTCTCTGGTGGTTGCTATGTCTCTGATCTTTCAGCTTTTACCTCAATATCTGAGGCCCAATTTTTTTTTATTGATGAAGACTAATTAGGTTCATGCTTCATCTCTGCCTACTCCCCCGTTGTGGCAGCAGTGCCAGGCTAACCAGAGCTCAGGGATCCACTCGCACACCAAGCAAGACACCGGGCTCTGCTCTAGGAGACAGCTGTGCAGCACGCCTGTACATAGCGCCTTGTTTTCTGCGTGTCTCCTTTTTCTCTCTCCAGTACTGTAGACAGGGCTCCCCCTCGGCATCTAGCCACAGATACTTCCCGGGGTCACAGATACTTCCCAGGGTCACAGATACTTCCCCAGGTCACAGATACTTCCCCAGGTAACAGATACTTCCCGGGGTCATCCTGAACCAGGTATTATTGGAAAGCTAGAGCTGGCTGCTGTCAGTATGCCCAGAAGCCTGTGTGCTCATGGGGCAAAGGGCCAGAGGAGGAAACAGATACAAACAAAACAACCAAGCCAATGTCGAAGTCAATCAAGCAAACTCACATGACTATAGGAGCTGGACTCAAAGGAAAGCAGTCAACAGAACTTAGGGCAGGAGACACACAGATGAATCAACACCCACAAGGGCAGAAGTGTAAACGCCATCCACAGCTCTGGTCCACAAATGCCCACGGGAGCAGTTTCTGCCATCAGGAAGGGAAAGCCAGTGCAGCATTGCCTCAGTGAAGCAGGCAGCTCACCATGTACATAATAACCAGCAAGTTTCATGAAGGCCAAAATCTGGGCAGCTGAGAGATCTCTTCACAGTCGGAGTCCTCAGCACTCAGACAAGGTGCACACAAGTGGTACATGTGTGTGTCCAGCACATCCTTGTAATGGATTGCTCTGCCCCCACTAGCAAAGTGGTAATAAATTATCCTGGAAAAGCTCAAAGTACAAACTTGACCCTTGCTCCCACAACATATGCTCACCCCTAAACCTGGTACACTGTCCCCATGCTAGACAAAGTCATTCTAAGTCTGCTTACCTAGCTTTGCGGCCTACTTCCTTCCAGCTGTTACCTTGAGTTACAGGCAGTTGTAAGCCACTGTTTGGGAGTTGGAAGTTAAACCCAGATCCTCTGGAAAAAGAGCAGCTGCTCTTAGCCACAGAGCCATCTCTCTAGCCACACAGTCTTTATAAATGGCCTTAATAATATTCGGTTACTGGCATGTGGCTTCTTCAGTCTTGGAGCGTGTAGGAGTGTCAATGTGGTTTCCAGGTAAAACTCGCCCTACTGTGCTCCCCAACAAGACAGGGTTTCTTTGTGTAACTCTGACTGTCCTGGAACTCACTCTGTAGACCAGGCTGGCCTGGAACTCACAGAGATCCATCTGCCTCCGCCTCCAGAGTGCTGGGATTAACGGTGTGCACCACCACCACCCGGCTTCCAGGTTACATTTTTGATGCACTATTCAGACCTTTTATGTCTTCTCCTACACGCACAGGAGTTTGTCTTTGTGTCAGCCGATGGCAAAGCCTATTTGCAAAGTGCCACTGTGCTGCCCATGATCAGACCAGGAACTACCGAACCAGTCATAGCAAAGATCTGCGGGTAGACTCCAGAAACACGAAAACTACCCGATGTTATTAAGGCCATTTATAAAGACTGTGGGGCTGGAGAGATGGTTCAGTGGTTAAGAGCAGTTGCTGCTCTTCCAGAGGATCTGGGTTCAATTCCCAGCTCACACATAGTGGCTTATATCTGTCTGTAAATCCATTCCCAAAGGATCCAATGCCCTCTTCTAGCCTGCATGGGTACCAGGTATGCACATGGTATACAGACATACTTGGAGGCAAAACACTCACACACATAAAATTAACAAGAAAAAATATTACTTGGCTTGAAAAGTATAGGAAAAGCTCATTTTCATGAAAAAAATCACATAGGTATATATGTATGTACGCATGAATATTGGTGTAGAATATTTGATGAAACTGTGAACCCCGAGGTTGCATTATTTACTAGAAAATCCTCTTTCTAGTTGTGGTGTGGTTTAGTCCTAGCACACACCTTTAATCTAAGAGCTTTCTGCTTGAATATTGTAAACAGGGTTTTTAAAAAGGCAACCATAGGTCAAGAGGCGGAGCAAGCAACCAATTGACAGGAAGTGAACATAAGCTGATCAAGAAAAAGCCATAGAGAGTAAGAGGGAGTCAGGAGGATAGATAGAGACACACAGGAAGTAGAAGGGAGGGACATTGAGTTTGAGGAGAGTTTTCGAGGCGGTGTAGAAGAGGGAGGTTTCTGGGATGTCGGCTGAGGAGGACAGCCAACTGAGTGCTTTCTCTGTCTCTCTGAGCTGGCAGGCTTTCACCCCAGCATCTGGCCCCCGAGTCTTTACTGGTAAAATCAAACGATGGAGATGTTGTTGAAAACAACAGAATAATTGTGAAAACGTGCCTCTGTGAGACACATCACATTCTGTATTCAGTGGTGCACATGTCTGTATGAGCATACTGAGTGCACATACCTACATACAGAGTTTCGGGTTTGATTCCTCAAGCTCTCCTCTGGGCAACTGAACTTATGTACTATTCTATTTGCTAAACCTACATACTATTCTGTTCTCTTAGAAGATCATCTGATTTTTCCCAAGAAAAGTATTCCCAAGGGAACAATACTTTCAACAGTCAATTTTCTTAGGAGGAACTCTGCAAAACAGACCAGACACCCACTGAATGCGAGCAATCTCCTTCTGCAACAGTTTGCTGGGGTCAGCCAGGGTCATGCTGTAGGTTCCATGTCCGACTTCTTTCCAACCATCTTACACAGATCAAGTCACAAGAGTTGCCTTATTTTCACGGGTCACCCGTGTTCACAATCTCTGTTCAGCTTCCTGAAGGCATCTGTCCACACCCTAGCCCAGGGACTTATCCGGACATTGGAAGCAGTATGCCACAACACGTAGACATGCAGATGGTAGGAAGAAGCAACCTGGGCTGCCTTGTTCTTTCTCTACACCGCTCTCCTTCCTACAGGTCCCCTGGGTCATTCCCTCAGCGCACATGGATGGGAAACACTTTTGCTTGGGCTATTTACTTTGATCTAAAAGGAAGCCCCAAGCCCATTCCAGACCCCCATGACCTCTAGTAGACAGCTGTGCAGATTGGCACAGCTCACCTAGGATGTATCTCTGAATTCTATGCCTTAGGTAGTGGCCTGTCCCAAAACCAAGCCAGACCCAACCTCCCAAAGACTTGCCAGACCCTTCCTCCCAACCTAGACCTGTGGTTTAGGGGCTGCCAGCAAGACAGTCATCAACTACTTCCTCCAAGGCAAAGGAACACACACCTGGTCATACCTGGCCATCCCTTTTGATCTGTCCCTCTTCGGTGGTACTGCCTAGCAGGGTCCCAAGGCTGAGATGGCCTGGTAAGGTAGGGAGGCTGGCACCGCTCAGCTGAGGGAGAAGTCAGGCTGATGTAGCAGGGCACTGAGAGCGGACAGGATTGTGACTCACAAGGGGAGCAAGAGCTCTGCACTCACAGCCAGGGCTGTGGGAGGGGCTGGCCCTCATGCCAGGGTGTCAGCCACTGAGGTTGGGCAGCTTCTCCACGGTGATGCCAGAGCCCCCAGGTAAAACACACCCCAAGGGTAAAATTTATGGCCCATTTTCAGGGCTTTGAACACCATCCAAGAATCACAGAGAAGCAGGAGCCATCAGGTCCCTGGCTGCCTGGGCCAGCAGCTGGCACCTGCTCACCTGGACACTTCGGTCTATTTTAGGGTTGAAGAGGCACAATATACAGTGTGCCTCGCCCTACCTAGAACAAAAGGAGAAAAGATTCCAATCCCCCCGAGGATGGTGGATTTGGGGTGGGGGCTACGTTGGACATGCAGGGAAGACTGTACCCCCTGAAGATTCAGCCAATGAGGCATTCAGGGGGCAGGGAAATATGATTTTAAAGAAACTGTTTTATACTGAATTGGCATATCAGGCATTTTATGCTTCTTGTTCTGAATTCTGTAAAACCAAAAATGAATCTACCTGGCTTTGACTACTCAGGGCCCAGGGCTTTTATTATGAAGTGAAGATCATTTCTCACACCACCTCTGGATAGATAGCCTGTGGTTTTACCAGGCAGGAGTCCTAAAGCTGTGTGAGGACATTGTGGACTCAGTCATGTGAACCCAAGAAGATAGATGGTACTTTTATCTTACCCTGGGTCTTTAGTTTATAGCTGGTATTGATGAGAACATCTCTGTGGCTCAATAAATCATTGCCCTTCCCAAGCAGACCTTGTAAGTCTGCTTTGGGAAACAGAATGAGAGCAGGGCTCAAAACACGGGGTGGGCACCTAGCCCCCTGAGCCGCCCTCGCCCATGCTCAGCCTGTTTTCAAATGTCGCCAGCCCTCCCTGCCCTGCAGTTCTTTGTAGGAGCTCCGGGACTCATTGTCCCTCTTTGGTGAGCACCTGTCGTGGGTTAGTCACTGTGACCGACGGAGTCTGGGGAGCTGAATGTCACCCACCTTTGTGGAAATGTGTAAAAGAGCCAGTGTTGAAGACATAGAGCAACCCTCCCTGGGGTTCTGGCGGAAGGAACAAGGGAGTTGAAATGCCTGTGCACTTATCTTGAGATCTCCGTCGACAGCCAGTGCTCCAAACAGTCATGGAGACTTGTTCTGCAAGACAGCCCAGACTAGGAAGTATAGAGTCAGCGGGCCCTGTGACAGAGCTGGTTGTGCTGGGGCTGAGGAACAGAGTGGCCAGGAGTTGGCTCGTAGAATACAAAGACTCTATTAAAGTAGCAGAGATCTGAGGCATTTGTAACCCAGTCCTCCTGTTCCTTCAGGCTTGTAAGTGGAGAACAAAATCCCAGCCCACTGTGTGTGTATGTCTGCATGTATGTATGTGTATGCATGTGCATGTGTGTGTGTGTATGTGAGTGTGAGTGTATATGTGTGTGAGTGTGCGAGTGCATGTGTGCACGCCTCTCTGCCTTCCTCTGCATGTGCCTGCATGCACCTCAGGGTCTCAGTGCAGAGGAAAAGGGCTGAGCACACATGGCTTGTGTCCTAACACCAATGGTCTTAGGTGTCCCTCCACCTGGCCTCTTTCTCCTGTCTTTCACCCACCCTTCATTTCATGTGTCAGGTTTACTCCTTTGGTGGTGTCTGAGGGGCAAGAGAACCCACAGCTGAGAGAAAAATCCCATCCTTAAACATATTCACTACGCTTCCCCTCACAGCCCACACTGACGTCTACTGCACACAGGCTCCGAGAACACGGCGGTGGACGCTCCCACCCCAAATCTCCACTCTCCCCCTTCTGTCGCTCAGGTGCGGCTCAGTACCCGAGTGTTCTCCCGCCACCTCAGGCTTACAGGTAGTCCCTAACTCACTAGGGACAGGGTCACACACGGGTCCCTTTCCTCATCGCAGGCAGGGGTGGTCAGTGAGATCAGAACCATTCGCCCTCTGGAAGTAGCAGGAAGTAGTAGGAGAGGAGAAGAGCGTATCCTGGTCAGCAGGTGCACTGAGCCGTCCTCCCCCCATTCTAACTCACCTTCTGTGGCCAGCCCCCTCCTCCTGCAGACTACAGAACTTCAGAGGTCGAAAGCCAAGCTCTTGACATTCTCAGTGTCCACGCACACAGAGTTCTGAGGCCAGGCCATTCCTGTTCAGGGTTTGTTCTAACACAGTGGTTCTCGCCCATCTTAATGCTGTGACCCTTTGATACAGTTCCTCATGCTGTGGCGACCCCCAGCCATAAAAGTATTTTGTTGATACTTTGTAACTGTGATTTTGCTACCATTATGAATCATAATGTAAATATCTGATATGCAGGATTCCATATGAGATCCCCAGGAGGTCACGACCCACAGGTTGAGAACCACTGGTCGGGTTGACCAGATTGGTCATCCAACAGGTTGATTTGCCTGTGATGTCCTGCACACGTTCACATGGGGCTCTGAGAGACAATGGTGAGCTTCCTAGATCTTAATGAGAAGGTGGAGTGTCGTCAGACCCAGCCTGGGTGGGAAAGGGCCCTCACTCAGCGGAATCAGGAATCTGTCTCCAAGTGCCCTGGACATCCCCCACTCCCTAGCCCTAAGAGGACCGGGTCATGATGTTTCATGGAACACCTGCCCCGCTACATACCTCCCTCCAGACCCTAGAGCTTACCTGGAAGCTTCTTCAGGGCCATGTACACTGGGACCTCGTTCTGGTGCTGGGTGACTAGTGCCCTCAGTACAAGTTCACTTTATCTTTGATCAGGGCCTGGTCAATGGGAACCTAAGACCTAAGGCTAGAGAGGCCCTGGAGGGAAGCCTGGATGTGACCTTCAGGGCTCCTCCTAGGAAATGATCTCCCCAGGCTCCTCTCAGTAACTACAGGAATTTCCTCTTCAACAGGAATCTCCTGACCTCTGCCTGTCACTCTCCGGCCTTGGCAAGAATGGCTCGGCTGTGGAGGAGAATTCAGGCTTTGGCTACAGGTAAACACAACCAGGACCAGCTTTCCTCGAAATCACCGCTGGATCTTCCTAACAATAAAGTATTTACCGCGCCCAGTTCTTCCCTTCAACCCAAAGTTCCTGAACGCTGACACACTCCAAAGCAAAATTCTTGAGAAAGTGAATGAGGCAGTTCAGGGTCCCTCTGAGCCAGCCACAGTGGAAAGCCACCGCAGGCAGGGTTCAAAGCGTAGTCACATGATGCCAGGCCTACCCTGTGGATGGGACAGGCTAGAGGAAGGAAGGCACCTGTACCCAGCCACCAGGGCTGCAGGGTGGGGAAAGTCCACCCTGTCAAACTCCTTCCAGGTGGGGCCAGAGGGCCAAGCTTCGCTCCCCAGGGGCCACACTCGGTACTCCCATGAAGCTCAGTGCTCTGTCACACTCAGTACTGACATCACATCTTCCAGCGCGCCCAGAGACACACTCACTTCAGAGACTTCGGTCAGAAGCCCGCGTTTGTTTGTCTGTTACCTGAAACCAGTTGCATTTCTGGGGTCACTCTGGCAGAATGTTTTCCAAAGCCATAAAATGCAACTTCCACTGCGGACGCTGGGCACAAGCTGCCGCCGTGATTGGACTGTTATTTGGGCTTCTCTGTGGGACCCTTGTTTCCCTGCTTTGACCTACTTCCCTGAACGCTCTTTAGAAGGACACACTGGCATTTTACTGAGTGCCAGTGTTGTGGCCAGGGGCCAGAGGCAATGCTGGGGATCGGCTTGGTCTTCAGTTTCGTGGACTTCTCATCATTACCGTAGTCTGTGCTGTGGCATTCCTTCCCAAGGGGTTTACAAGTTTGGTTGTTCCTGCAGAGGGCTCTGAAGCTGGTCTAGAGAGCTGGCATATGACTTAAAACTTGAGGGCATGTTCCAAGAAACCGAAGCAATCGAGCCTGGAGTCTACTGCAAACCTGGATGGAGGCAGGAGGCAGACAGGGAGTCAGATGGGAGACTAGAAAATCAGCAGCCTGAGGTAGAAGCCTGGTGAAGCAAGGAGGAGTTGGCACATCACTGACCTTTGCAGATAGGCAGAAGGACAAGATTGCATTTTCTGATATTGTTCTGCTGTTTGTCTCTTAACTCCTAGACAGGTTTGTTTGTTTTTACTTTTAATAGAAGTCAAATTATTCCCTACCTCCCCTGCTATTTGCATTTTAATTTATGAAAGTTCTTTGCTGTATTTGGATGTGATGCAGGTCCGCCTCCCTTTCTGTGATGCTGTGTGGCTACCACACTGCATGCAGCTAACATAGTTTACCTGGTAGCCAGCCCACTCCTGGTCAGCATGCTGCTTCCAGAAGCAGACATAATCCTGTGCCATTTTTACCAGCTGCGTGTAACTTAGAAGAGGCTTACAGCCAGGGGACCGCTGAGCGAGTCCCTGTGAGATGCGGGCTCTGAGCCGCTGACCTCAAGGCTGCTCTGCCTCCCTCCCAGCCCACAGCACAGGTCTGCTCCCTACGTGTTCCTCTCTGCAGTCCACACAGCTCCTCCCAGAGCCTGAGTGCTCCCCCAGAGCTTCTCACAGCTCCCCTCACGCTCTCTGCAGTTCCTAGCACCGCCATTCATGGGTCTTGGCTGTCTGCCTGCTGGCTGGAAGACACAGCTTATTGTGTTAAATTTTATTATTGTTGCTACTGTGTGTGTGTATGTGTGGTTTGTGTGGTGTGTGTATGGTATGTTGTGTGTGGGTGTGGTGTGGTATATATGTGTGTCTGTGTGTGGGGGTATGTGTGTGGTTTGTATGGTGTGTGTGAGTGGTGTGTGTATATGGTATGTGATGTGTGGGGTGTGTGTGTATGGTATGTGGTGTGTGGGGTGTGTGTGTGTATGGTATGGTGTGTGGGGTGTGTGTGTGGTTTGTGTGGTGTGGTGTGGTGTGCAGTTATATACATATGTTTATGGAGGCCAGAGGTCTATGTCAGGTGTCATCCTCTACTCTCCCTGTTATTTTTTCAGGCAGGGTCTCTCACTGAACCTGAAGCTCACGGATAGGCTGGCTGGACAGCAAGCCACAGTGATCCTCTGGTCTCTGGCTCCCAGCAGTGGAATTACAGGACAGCTACTGTGCCAGGCTTTCTGATATGACTTTGGGGGATCTGAACTCGGGTCCTACGATTGTATTGCAAATACTTTATCAATGAGGCTGTCTCCCCTCTTTCATGTTGTGATTTTTCTTAACTCAAAGTCTTTGATCAACATGGAAATTCTCTTGTGCCAGAATCAAGAAAATTGATTGGAAAAAAATTTTTTTTTTGGTTGTTGTTGTTTTGGTTTGGATTTGATTTTGGTTTGATTTAGTTTGGTTTGGTTTTGGTTTTTCGAGACAGAATTTCTCTGTAGCTTTGGAACCTGTCCTGGAACTCATTCTGTAGACCATACTGGTCTCAAACTCACAGAGATCCTCCTGCTTCTGACTCCCAAGTGCTGGGATTAAAGGCGTGTGCCACCACCACCCAGAGATTGGAAATGTTTTTATACCATGGCGCTGTTATGGTTTAAATAAAATGCTGCAGGTTCTCGAGTGGCGGCAGTGGACAGCGGGTCCCGAGACCACGGCAGGCCACAAAGATAGAGACCGCTCTTCTACAAGCCCTGCGGTGTTCATCACCATCCCACACCCCACCTGTAGAGGGGAGATGTCACCTTATAAGTCTTGTGGTGTCGCCGTTTTCATGTTTTTGGCTATGGTATAAACCCTCACTCCGCCAGTGTCTCACCGGCTCCACTGACTCCGCTTTTCCTCAAACTGTCCCTGCCACCGCTACTGCTGCCGACAAGATTGGCCGGATCCACGAGGCGGCTGTTTTCAGTTCCAGCCTTTTTCTCCCTGCCGCGGCTTGTGGCATGGCGGCTCGGCAACAGGGCAGATCATGCCTCTAGGTCTCTCTTCCAGACAACATGTGACCGCTGCCATTTTGACTGAGGTCAGGTGACCTTACCATCATCTTAACTGAGGTCAGGTGACTTTTCTGCCATCCTGAGAGGCAGGTCAGGTGACCAAGTTCCACCATCTTTACTGAGGTATTCCCTGCCTGGTTCCCCGGTGTTAACTCTGTTACATAGGTGACTTTACGGCCATCTTAACTGACTACTCCAGACCACCGCACTCTGGGCGCATAGTGGGGTCTTTTATAAACAAACACCAGGTGGGGGAGAATTAAAAGTCTGCATAAACGTTTTACAAGATGAGAAGATTAAAGTTGGGGGAGATTTATGGAAGCTTGGCCCTTGGTCATGTAGCTGCCTTTGACAGAAATAAAACACAAAATACATTTCTCACAATGATGCAAACCTTTAATCCCAGCACTCAGGAGGCTGAGGCAGGTGGATCCTGGTAGGTGCCAATAGCTGAACTACATAGTAAGTTCCAGGCCAGCCAGGGTGACACAGTGAGACCACATAGCACACACGCACACACACATACACATGCACACACAGAAACGGAAGAGAGGAAGTAGGGGGCAAAGCCAGCCAGCAGTGATCCTACACGGTTTCGGCTTAGTTCCTGCCCTGCCCTCCCATAATGATGGGCTGAGACCTAGAAGTGTAGGCTGAGATAAACTCCTTCTTCCCTGCCAGGGTGGGGGAGTGGGGAATGAGGTAGGGGTGCGGGTGGAGGGCTCAGGTCCCAAAGAGAATGTGTGGAGTTGGGGTGGACAGGATCTGGGGGAAAATCAGGATGGCGGCCAGCAGTGTTTAAATGATAAAAGATTCTACCATTTATACTCTATAGTTGCACATAGGGTTAAATGGGGGTCAGGGAGCTTGTGAACTGGGGTGTGGCTTCAGGTCAGGGGTTGAGGAGTCTAACATTGACCCTGACAATAGGCACCAGTGTTAATGGCAGGGCCTTAACTTCCTCCCAAGGGAATGAATGGAGACCTTTATCTAAATGCCTTTGGGAGAAGGACCTGCAAGGAGCAGACTGTAAACTACTCTTGGTCTTACTCTGTGGACCTGTTCCCCTCAGAACGCTCCTTAAAGGAAAGGTCCTAATGTCTTACTCTTTTCTGATGCCCTACCATTCCAATTGTTCTGTATTGATTAACAGAACTCTTGCCTTCATTTGCCCCAGGCTCTGCATCTGAACTGTAGGCAGGCATTTCATCCTTGGGACCAGGTGTGTCTAGTAAATCACTAACATTCCTGTTCTTGGTATAATGAGGAGGGAGCAGTGGACTTCCTGTTTCCACAGTGGTGGGAAATTTTTTTTCCAAAACATTATTTTGTTTAAAGAGGCTACCAAAGTACACATTTTCTTCCTTTACCCAAGCCCATCCAAAATTTTCCAAAGGGAAAGGTATTAATCGTGAGAATCATTAAAAATGAAATTAAAAGTTACTGGAGAAGTGCGATGTTGAAATACTGGGACTTTGTCAAGCAGCGATGGTCTCCATGTGGTCCAGGCCATGGGTCTTTGTAGAGCGGCGATGATTGTCATGTGATCCAGGCCATGGGTCTTTGTTAAGCAGTGGTGGTCGCCATGTGGTCCAGACCATGTTCCCATGTTGCTGGTCAGAATGTTTCATAGCACTAACAGACAACAAATCAGGACAACCCCAAACCAAAACACAGCCAGACAAACAAAGGTAGTGGCCAGTCCAAAATCTGACCCACAGCTTCCCCTGAAACAGGATTTTCTATGCACCTGAAAAGATGACACAGTCAGCCAGGAAACAAATTTAGCTTCTTCACAGTTAATCCCCCTGTGTGTCAGATAAAGGTCATCTACGGCTAAAACTCTAGACAAAGATTTCCATTAAGCAGTGTTCACTAGAATTGATTAAAAGTCAGACCTAAATTGACAGTTGGGGATCTGTCTATTCCTTTCTTTTTTTAAGAAAGTATTCCCTTTAATTGGGAAACAGAGGCAGGCAGACCTCTGTGAGTTTAAGGCCATGCTGGTCTACATAACAAGTTCTAGGACAGCCAGGGCTATATAGAGAGACCCTCTCTCAAACAAAACAAAAAAGTCATATCCCAAATGATATGGATTAATTAAAAATGCTGCAGTGGGCAGCAGGCCGTGAGACCACACTGCAGGCAGTGGG